GGGAGGAGGAGGATGGCGTGGATGCCAATAAGGGTCGGAGCGAGGATATACCGGTGCGTTGAGGGCTTCATATGGGTGTTTTGTAGTGTTTTTGCTGTAAATATAGATAGTAGTTGAAAATAAGCCCCTCTCTGAGGATATTGTTGTAACTGTGCTGAATATTATCCTAGCTCCAATTCTAAATCTTTATAACCTCGACTCGGCTTTCCTACTCGACCTTCGACCTTCCTTGAAGCCTTATGCTGTTCTCCCAAGAGTTAAGTTGAGTTGAATCAGAATAGAGTAGAAAAAGCTTCCTTTTCTCACTCGAGTCAATCGAGATGGCTGATACTACTAGTCTAATAACATCACCACCACTGTGAATCAAGAAAATAAAAAGAAACCAAGTAAAAAAAAAAAAAGTAGTTGGTAGAGTAGATTATTAATAAAGTGAATAAACAAGCCGGACCAATTAATGCCAATGCAATTTATTGGACGGAAGTAAATGCCAACGAGAGACAATACAAGAAAAGGAAGGAAGGGGGAGGAAGAAAAGAAAGAAAAGAAAATAGGTCTGAGAAAGAGAACGTGGTCGCCGACGGGGCTGGGCTGTAATGTTTGATCGCCCCGGGCCAGGCTAGGAACAGACTGGACTAAGGGTGGATTGATTTGTGGTAGTTGTGGTGACTTGACGAACGAACCAGAAGGGAGGGAATGAGGGCCGGTCAAGGAAGGGAACTGACCACTAGCTGCCAGAACCCTACAGTAGGCACGAAGTGAAATACAAATCTTCAAAGGTAGGGAAGTAAGCAGCAAGAGGAAAAAGGGAGTAATAAGATCGATAGAACGTTTATCGGTGCTTACTGACGGAGCGATAGGTATGTAACGACACTTATGCAAGTGATGTGCGGCGAAGCGGTAGTGACATACAGGAGGGAAGGGTTGCTGCTGCTTGCTGCCCCAGCGCTTCTATTCTATTTTCCTTGGATCCTTCCCCCCAGACTTTTTCTTTGCTTTTTTTTTTGCATGGTCTGGACAGATGGGTGAACGGATGGAAATGATTCTTGCCCGCTCTCTGGGTAGGTACCTCTGCTCGGAGTCTACTCTACCTACCTAGGTTAATGTTTTTATTTCATTCTCTGATCTCCACACCTACTTCTGTGCAGCGGACATACGTTGGGAAATCCATTTATTGGTGAGCTCACTGAGGACAGGAATTGCCGATGCTCTTCTTTCCCCAACCGAATCATGTATTAGCTTTTTCGGTATGTACAGCGAGTGGGTCTTATTCTCTGAGCTCCGCAGTGTGCACTTCTCCACAAACCCCACATAACCGACCCCTGTGTGTTGCGTGGGTTGTTCTCTTGACGAGTGTCGCAATTCAGGGTGTGTGTGGGTGGACGGTGTAAAGAAAGTGGTTTAGCTAAGGGTTCGCGTCCTGCAGGGGAAGAGAAGGAATTCAAGGATCCAAGCAAAAACAGGCAGCAAACAGGCAAGCGAGGATTCTCTTCCTTAGACTACATGTGCATGTCGTCAAGCAAAGCCATAAGAAAAAAAAGCCCGAGGAAACGCGTCCGAGTTCGTGCGTGCAGGTGGGAGCAGCTTTGGTTGGGTGCATCCATCGCGACATTTTGTTTTTTGCGGGAAGTTGAGTTGCTTGCACATGGGCTCTCTCGATCGTCCCTGTCTTGTCTCTACTCTACCTAGACAAGTCGGTGTCATAAACTCTGCTTCTTAATCTTGACAGCAGGCGGACATAGCTCATGGCTCATTTCAGACCCTCTCGGACCCCCACGTTGCTTTGATATGCTATTCTATCTGACGATTTCTGTTCCTCAAGACTTTATTGAACACTGGCCAGGGCAGGCCGATAGGTAACTGTCATGGGTTCGTATCCACAGTATCGGAACACCATATCATCGATCTATGATATGTGGTGTTTCTTTTTCTTTTATTTCTAGATCTGTCTTTCTGTTTTTCTTCCTGAGCGGTTAAATTCTTACCGAATCAATCGACCTGATCCTGAGCACTAACTAGAATACTCTATCGTCCGTTCTTTTCTTCTTGTTCTTAGTCCATGACGGTTGTGGTCCTTGTCCAGGACCAGGATGGTTGAGTTACTCCAATTAATGCACTCCAGACCTGATCAAAATTATTCTCCCATCCGCCGAGCGAGCAAATAGGTATCTTGGCACCATACCAGAGCCAGTGGCCACGCCCCACCACTCCCCTCCTTTCTTCTCGTTTGTTGCCTAGTGTGGGGAAGGCGCAAAAACGTCCACAAGGGTGTCTAGCGGGCTGTATGATACTCTATGTTTTTGAGCACATCAGACGTGATCCTTGACGTCGATTGTACATAACTACACTAGCAAGTGTGTCTGGGGAATCAGAATAATTGCCTGTCTTGCCGGCTCGATTGCCGGCTTGGTTTTTCTGATTACGGGATACCGAGGCTCCTTGTTTATTAATTCTTGATATCAGATTCTTTTCAGATCTGGGATTTCGAATTTGCTTTTCTATCGTGAGTAGGAAGGTTCCTATACAAGGTGCATGCAGGACTTCGATCTGGTAGCACACCTGTATCGGCGGGAGAACTCGCGCCCTACGTTTTATCCGAATCACGAACCCACGAGCTGACGTTAGACCGGTCCCACTGACCACAAGAGGGGTTGTGGTGGGCGAAAATTTGGTGAGAAATGTTTCACTTTACTGACAATCACTTTTTCGTAGAGCAGAATTCTAGCCCACAAATGTTATAATCATGATATATTTGCAGCCAAAGCATATTCATGTATTTCCCGGAAGGTACAACATACATGTACTATATTTCCAAATTCCAGGAACTACCCTTTGTTCCAATTGGTCAAGTCCACAACCTAATTTGCCGAAGGAGGGATCCCTCCCCGTACTAGCAGGCTCTAACCATGTAGGGGACATACATAGTTCCCTTCTACTCTCTCGAGAGCTCTTTCCCCTGAGCAAAAGATCGGATGAACTCCGACTCGAAGCAATTTGTTCTCTGTCTACCAGCTGAAGAATGGCGAGAAGAAAAATTCTTCTGCTTCTGTGAAACCATCATTGGGTAATGATGCAGAGCACATACCCACTCACATAGCGAACGAATCGAGTGTCTCCTGTTCCTGTTACTTCCAGCGGCGAAGATAGGAGATATCAATTATTCACCTGTTAATCCAAAAACTGCAAGTTCTCCGGGATCTAGAATTCTCATATTTCCGGCTTCATCAAGCAATTTTCTCCTTTATCCAGGCAAGTACCTAGTGCACAAAGCGGCGGAGTGCCTGGCCATTCTAAAGGCAAAAGAACGTCTTAAGGATCTGCGGTAGATCAAACCCTCCACCGTATTTGGACTCACTTCGTAAAGCGAAACAGCATATGCACTGTCTCAGCAGCCACCAAACCTTACCTTACCTACTAGAGCACGCCCTTTGACCAACTAGCACCTAGATTACTGCATTTTTTTTCTTGAGATCATTGGAATCATACTGTAGGTATTTCTAACCTTGATCAACCGCACAGAACGAAATAAAGACGGGACAGATATGAAATACCTAGTACACCAATTTGCGATACCAGAAAACCATTTTCCGCCCCCGTTGCCACGGACAAGCTCGTCTAGTTTACCCGAAGCCACTCACATGCGAGATGGGTGTCAAATGATCTCTCGCATACAACCTGGGGTGCATAATACATGCTACACAAGATTTGTGAGGCAAGGATTGCAGGTGGGGTACTATGGTGGGGAGGGAGAGATACCCCCTTTCCACTACTAAATCGATATTCTTAATGCAGGGTGGTTTTGGGGATAGAGATGGGATGGGAATGTGTTATGGTATGCGTCTTCGATGGGTGCACGCACGTACGTGTGCTTTTCGACTGTCAGAAGTGGGAAGATTAGCCATCATTCTTCGCTTAGGCACGCACTAACGAGGTAGTTTCTCTATCTACCATGATATGATATGACGGTAATGGCCTGAGCTTTAATTTTTTTTTTTTTTTTTTTTTTTTTTCGATCTAGAGATGTAATAATATCATATGTATAACACCACTTTCAAGTATGACAATTTGCTCCGAGAGTGAGAGCTGTCAAACAGCTACCTAGATACTAGCAACCCGGGAAACAGGGTCTGTAACTTAAAGTAAGCAGGCGGCGGAGCAATATCAACGGAACCTAGCTGGACATCCGGGATGGAAATATTTGTCTCAACGTTACAAATAAACCTAGATATAGAAACTTTATAAACCTTCAGTTCCATCACTATCAAACTACCGCGTGGCGGTGGCGGGGAGTGTCCAAGAGGCACATATAGCTAGATATAGGTCTATAAGATGCATGTAGGTACGGTGTGTACGTAGTGGTAATAAGATACATGTATAAACACAACCCAATGGACATTTCTGCCGAGGAAACTATTTACCACCTGAAAAGAGAAGATATATGTACTACCTGGAATTTTTTTCTCCCCCTACCTGGCTGATAGAGTAGTATGTTACTATATTTTGGGGTGATGAGCAGTGGAATCATGATCAATCACTCGCGTACTGAAGCTCAACATGTTGGGAGTTTACTTACTATTATATATCTATCTCTATACTCTTAGAAGATTCATTTACTTATAGCAATGAGAATTCTTTTTCTCTCCCGTAGACTCAAGTTTCTTCTTTTGAAACTCAAACGTTTAGTATCACATAGGTATCCCTCCATGTGCACGTGTTCTCCACATGTTTCTTTGACTCAAAACTGCCTATTCAGGGTTATGTTTCCCGCGTCTTTGTCATCCATAGAATAGAGGAGGTGTCTGTATTTTCAGACCGGTATTATCGATCGCACCTGAAAGCCTTAATTTGGGGCCTCAGTACTGCAGTTCCACTCGTAACGAGCTACCTTTATTTCAAACCTCAATAATTGAATACCAATCAGAGCTAGCGATTCCTAATGACCTATCGATTAACCCAGGCTCTTTGAAACGACGCTGTACCCTCAGGCGGAACACCCCCAACACATGTGCGACGCACAGCACGTGGGTTGGCCGGCGCCTACAACGGAGTCCACCCCGTGAGCCATCGATTTAGGTAACGGTTTTGATTGAAACTGGTGCTACACCAGTAGAGAAGCCCGGCTGTAACTATGACGGAATGCCGATCATGAAATTCGCACAAATATATTTTACCCTCGCGGAGTTGTCTGACGGCAGTGCTCTAAGGTATGATGCCGTTGCAGTTAGCTTCGTACTACAGAGAGGGACGGAATGCTTCTCTGTCCGTGGCACCGATGCACGATGTCTTCTGACAGATCGACCGAATAATCACAAGTCATCACTCGAGAACTGGGCCACAGGAGTCAATGTGAATCAGATAATTCCTTAAAATCATCCATTAATTCATCCGGTGCGTGTATTGCAGTTATAAAGGTATCTTGCTCTATTGGGTTTCGATGTTCACCAAGGAGGGAAGTGGTGAAAAGAAGGATACTGTATTCAATTGCCAGTTTTGGTGTAGCTAACATGATATTGCTATGTGCGGCCACACCTCTGTTGTCAATGTGTCCCGCTTGCAACGTACCACGTACTTGTAACGTACATGTGCTCTCTCAAAACTTTAAATCTAGCCACCTTTTAGCTTGAAGCATGACAACGGTCCTAAAAGTAACTGTCCTGACCTTAAACCACTTAAAACACTCTTATCGGGTTAATTCCAGGAGTTATATCGTCTTCGAGAAATACCGCAATCACATAGGTCGGAATAGGCCACTATGTCCGAATAAAATGTTAGGCCTCTGTACAATCATACCCCTATCTGATTCTCGAAGACACGCTCATTATTAATTTCGGTACTAGTAACAATGACGATAAGAATCAAATTTGGTGTGGCCTACAAGGCTGATCAATTGGGTGATCAAACAAAGGCCGCGACCTTCAGGTACCTTCTTCTTGTAGAGGGCATAACTTCCCCTACTCGATCAAAATTGAGTGATATCCCGAGGCCCCCGGCACGTTCAGAGTAATTTCAATCTTAACTATGTAGCTTTACCCTTAGAACTTGTTCTCTAAGCAGAATTCTAAATATCAGTTTGCACAGATGCTATATTTTGACCAAAGAATATGACATATGTAGTAATTTCCCTCTCGATTCGTACTAATACTCAAATAATTTGGATCGTCACGGCGATTTAATTAAAAGAACGCGTATAGGCCTTGAGCTGCTGCTCAGGTTGTGTGATTCACGAGGCAGCTTGAGACAAGGTGGGAAGGGCATATAGACTGGTATCTGCCACGAGAGGGGGGAGGGGAGGGGGCTCACCCCAGAGTGTCTCAAGTTATATGTATGTATGCCTTGAATTCCTGGAGACATTGGCTGTAATTGACAATAGTTATGATATATCAATCTACGACTTGTGCTAGCATAAGGTGCCACGCCGAATATTTCATATATTAGGAGTAATTTGGAGTATCTCTATCCGATAACTTCCTGTTCAAAATGAGTTAATATACATGTACGCTTATAACCAGTAACCTGACCGCTGCAAAACCTCCGGTTGATTCGAGATGCGCCAGCCCCGTAAGGGGGGGGTATAATATAGGCCGCCTTGGACCACACTTCTGGAGCAGCCCGAGGTAGAGCTAATCCGGAAAACATTCTTCAAAAGTCATTAACTTGTAGGCCTCCGTACCTTAGATTACCTACCTCAAAGTGGAGCCTCAAGCTCCGATAACTCATGGAACTCGGTATCAAGCACATACATATTGGCAGAATTAAGGTAAACGATCTTGAGCCTTTTACCACAAGACCACGGCTGACACATATTAGTATATATACATGAGACCGAAAGCTATAGATTTTGAGAGGACTTTCCCGAATGATAGCCTCAGACCAACCTATTAAAATTTTAAAATACCTCAAATGTCCAAATTCTCCTACCCGCCGTTCAGAACAATGAAATGAGACAGGATTTTGCACAAGACGAGCCTAGTGTCTGCAGTCCGCAAGAATCGAAGTTTTCGATTCGGGACTATGTCAAAGATTGCCCATCTTAATTTATGGCTATATTTGTATATATATAGGTTCTGTTGAGCTTTTAAGCAACGGATATTACAGTAAGAAGGTCTCCAAAAGTGGTGATATCTCTTCGACCTATTGCAACCAAACCAGCGTGACTACATACACTTTGCTCCAAAAACGTCCCGCCGCCCCACCCCGAATACGCTTCATGTGCAAATTAAAATACTACAGCCACTCTGCAAAAGTGTTCGTGATCCCGATTTCGGAGTGAGACATTTCTCCATAGGTAACCGTGGCGGACCATCAAAAAAAAAACCCAAGAGAAGACTTTCCCAGTGATCAATGGCGCCCGGAATCAATGAAGAATAAGATCAGTGACCTATCTTCTTTTATATATAGTCACGAACTATATTATATATTTTTCGTTGTTTTGAATCTCAACATTTATATCAACATTACGGGTGCGCCACACTGCGCACTGACATGAAAACTAAATCACGAACACTTTTACTGAGTGGCTGTAGGTTATATCCGCTGAGATGGCGAGACAAGCAAATACCACGAGTACCTCCTGCGGTGGCCCTTCCAGTAGCTAGCAAAGGAACCCATCCCGACGTTCGGTCACTAAGCCACACTCTATTATTCGAAGAGACTCCAGACAACTCTTCCTTTTGATCGAAGCTACAGGGGGCGCTGCCGGCCGCGGTCACTTATTATACATGTAACGTATCTCACTCAACCACCTACTCACCCACCCACGCATCCATTCGCCCACCCACTTGCGTCCTCCCTAACTCACCAAGTCACACGCTATGCAGCAGCGCCCTCTTCCTCCAATCTCGAGGGCTTGCACTGCTACCAATGGCAGCTACATACATGTAGGTAATAGCAACGATATCGGATCACAGGAAATCACTCGCCCACACCCGGGCCCACGACGAAACGAAATAGCCCTCCCTAGCACTGGATGGGAACCACGGCGGCCGGTTTAGAGTTGACGGATATGTCTCACAATTTGCCGGTTTTCATTGATTCTCCTGTTTCTATTTCGATGTCATTAGTGCCATCACCATCATCAGAAAAAAACCCTGCCCATATTCGATATCCCGCATATATAGATACCCGCGGGGCATAGGGGAGACGCTAACTTGTATCGTCGCCCGCTCCCGGTTGCAATCACACACCCTCCAGGCTGCAAAAAAACATACATGCATGTATATATTCCAGCCCGCGACCCAGACGGGCTAGGCGTGTGCCTATAAGTACATGTAGGCGTGCATATCTATCAAGCCGGGCGTACAATATCTTATGTGCCTACATTCTAGCATAACAATATGTAGGTACACGCATGCATGCTGTGCTACTATCTCCCACAGTGCACCAAGTACTTACTTGTATTGACCTAATCAATCAATCAATCAAATCAATCAATCAATCCCACAGTGCACCAAGAGTTGCGAGTGATGGACCATGACTGACGCCGGGTGGGAATACATAAAGTACATACATACAGCATGTAGGAAACACCACCCGCAGGCAGGCGAGAGCTTCAAGATAAATATACTTGCCACACCTAGCTACCTCCAGACGACACCACAGAACAAACACAGCACCCACCCGCCCACCCAAACAAAAACCACAAAGAACGCCACCCCACAACCCGGCCCGCCACAATACGAAAAACGAAAAAAAAAAAAAAAAAAAAAAAAAAAAAAAAATGAAAAGGGGGGAATGGGGGATATAATTATATACACACACGCTCCCCCTCCCCCTCCCCCGCTTTTTTCAGACCGGACTTTTCAAAACCCCACCTTCCCCGCAACCCACCTCTCCGCCGCCTCCACACAGTCCAGCGGGATATTAAAGATCGGATGATGCGCCTTCAACCTGTCGCCGACCGCGCCCTCCTCCGCGACGTCGTCGGGCCATGTGGGGATGTCCTCGACGACGGGCTCGAACACGCCCTTGACCACCGACGGGATCTTCTCGCTGACGCGCCACGTGAACGCTGATCGCAGGGGGAGATCTTCGTTTTCTTCTGCGAGGCCGGAGGGGGTCTCGGGGGAGGAGGTGTAGTAGGAGTAGTGCTGTGCGCTGCTGAGGCCGAGGAGGACATAGCAGGTGTGGTAGAAGTCTGGTGCCCTGGTTTCTGTTAGTTGTTTTTTTGTCTCAAGTTATGGGGGGAAGAGGGGAGGGGGGGGATGTACTTGTTCGGCTTATCCCTCATCCCACCCTTCATGTTCTGGCAGCACGCAAGGATATACCGCGCGAGGCCCTCCCGACTCCACAAGCTCCCCACCACCCCCGCCACCAGCTCATCAGGCTTCTGCGGGCCATTACACGCCGCCTCGACCAGCGGCCAGCACCCGCCCACCCACGTGCTATAGCAGCCATCCACCAGCTTGTTCGTCCTGCCCGACAGCCCGCCCTCCGGCGCATACTGGCGCGCGCTCAGCCACGCAATCAGCCTGTCCATGTCGAGCGAGGTCGTCAAGACCTCGCGCGGCTCGCCCAGCATGCACAGCGCCGCCAGCGCGCAGAACGCGTAGCCGCCGTGGGCCTCGTTGCCCTCGGGCGTGGCGCCGAAGCCGCCCTCGAACGTCTGGCAGCGCGAGAGGTACTCGCGCGTCCCGCGCACGAGGCCGCCGGACGTGGGCAGGCCGAGGAGCGTGATGATCACGAGGGCGCAGTAGCAGCCGCGGACGTCGGACTCGCCGTTGATGGCGACGCGGAAGCCGCCGGTTTCGGGCACCTTGACGCTGTGCAGGTATTTCAGCATTGCGCGGCGGTCGATGAGGTCCAGCGGGGATTCCTCTGCTTCGTTCTCCCCCCCCTCCTCCTTCTCCTTGTCGTCGCCGGGGGTGGTGGTGGCACGCGAAGAGACAAGGCAGAGGGCGAGGACGGCGGCGTAGGTGGCCGTGATGTGGCTCATCTGGCCGTTCCCGCCGCCGAAGCCGCCCGATTCGTTCTGCAGCGGGCGCAGCGTATCCATGACGCGGGTGCGGTACTTTGCCAGGTCCACGCCGAGCGAGGCCAGCCCCGAGAGGCACCAATACACCAGCCACGCGCGCGAGGCGTCGTAGGCGACCATGTAGTCCGGCAGCTTACTCGTGAGCCCGCTCTCGAGGAACGCGATGTGGTTCTCGCGGTCCAGGATGGGGAACGGGTCCTCGGGGTAGCCGAGGAAGCGGATGCACGAGTTGACCGTCGCATCCTGGTCCAGCGACGACCGCGTGGTCAGGGCGTCGCGTAGGAGCGGCGGCTTCGTGAACAGCGGGGGCGCGGGCGGCGCCGGGGGGATGTACGGGTTCGCGGGGTTGTAGGGGTAGTAGCTTTCGTCGGCGGCGACGACGGGCGATGTTGAGCCCGAGACGTCCGAGGAGGAGAGCTCCTGCACGCGGAGGGGGTTCAGGAGGGTGTCGAGGTTCTCCGCGGGGGTGGGGTTGGTGGTGGTGGAGAAGGAGGAGGAGGACTCGGCCATGGTAGCGGTGGTGGTGGTGGTGGTGGTGGTGGTGGTGGTTCGTCTTCTGGTGGTGGTGGTTGTGGTGGAGGAGCGTGGGAAGAGGACCTTTTTTGGGCGCCGGCGGATGTGAGGCTGCGGGGGCATCAATTGGGGAGGTTGTGGTGGTGGTGGCGGTGGTTGTGGTGGTGGGCTGGTGGCTTCTTCTTATGTAGGTGTTTCTTGGTATTGTGCTTTTCTTTCTTTGTGGTTGGATATAAATGTTGTGTGTTGTGTGTTGTGTGTGGTGTGTGGTGTGTGGTGTGGGGTGTGTGGTGTGGGGTGTGGGGTGAGAACTGAGAAGAGAGAGTGTGCGAGAGAGAGACGAGTGGATGAGACACGCGAACTGGCGGGGTAGTGGTGTGGGGTTAGGGTTGCCGTGGGTTCGGATACGAGGTCACAGCGTTACACAGGGATCGGTGCGAGTGAGACGCGGTGATCGGGATGCGGCGGTGAGAGTGAGTGTGAGAGTGAGAGTGAGTGTGAGGGTGAGTGTGAGAGTGAGTGTGAGAGTGAGTGTGAGAGTGCAGTGGTGATGGGTGCTGTGGTGGGACTTTACGTTGAGGAGAATGGATGGATGGATGTTGCTCGATCGGACTGGCGAGCGTGGGAAGCTTCGTTACTTGGTTGGAGGGTGCCTGCCTGTGCCTGCCGGGTTGAGCATTCTGTGTATCTCTGCAATGGCATTCACTAGGACTAGGACAACAATACACTAGGCCATCTTATCCCACGAATCTTAACCTCCTTGTCGTCATTTGAAACCCCCGTGCATTGCTCTAGTAAAAATGAATACATGTAGCCCTGTCCCTTTTGACCAAGAGAAGCACACGCAGTGGGGGAAGAAAGAGCCCACAGCCTAGAAGATATATCAGTATGTTTGCTCCACCCACGGTGTACTGGAGTCTCTCTATTGATACGAACACGGTGTTGTGACCACTTACTGGCTACATGAACTGCATGGCCTTATTAGGGGTCTTACGTACTTGTATAGAGAGTGTGTCGGAGATGAAAACCCAGATCCCCCTTACAGCCCCCTCTGTGTAGAGCCGACTGTACATATACATATGTATCCACTATACTATAAAAGAATATGGTCTGGAAAAGTTTCGCTAAACCGGGGCCTAATCCTACATCCGGCCCTGACCATGGGGGAGACTACAGAGCTCTGATCGATATCACACATACCCCCACTAAGGCCCTCAGGCCCCTTAAAAAAAAAAAAAGGCAATAAATACACAAAAAGTAATGTCTGGGGTGTACGGAATGTAACGGGCTATATAGGCCCTAATTCGCGTTACATGCCGTACACTCCAGTTACTCCCACCCCCGGAGTTAAACCCATAACCTCCGAACGGTCATGGTGGCTCAACCCACACGGTGTAGCAAGACGAGGTGTCTACCACTAGACTACCTCGCCCACACAACTGTCAAAGGCCGGGAAGTAATACTTAGGGGAGAGAGGGCAAGTGAGCTAGAGGGACACCTAACCCTGCAATCACACTCTACCACGAACCCGCTGGCCACCCTCTTGTGTTCAATGGAAGAAAAGCCTACATGCACGCGTGCATACTAGTACGTAAGTAGACGCCCATACTACGTTATCTGTCCCCTTGTTCTCTTGAATATTTATTGCTCAAATCGTCTCCTTTTTTACATCTCGATAATCACCAACCATCTCTCTAATGACTTGCAAGTTATACACTGTGTGTCAGCCGATATATGCTACCAATCACTTCATTTGCGCTGTCCACATGAACCAGGTCTGATGCCGTGGGGGGGGGGGGGGGGGGGGTGCACGTGTGGGTACAAGGCTGATATCCGGCTGCGTACATATTGTCTGGCTGTTGTGCCCGTATTGCAAGTATGTGCGCGTGCTTCCCCGGGCAGAGCTTATCATCGCAGGTATCCCCTTCTATCCTCCTACGGTAACCTCCATCCTCTTGACCTCACAACAGCCATCACCACCCATTACATCTGGCCAGCCCTCCTATCTCGAGCACGCCCACAACATAACACTTGTTCACCAAAAATCACTCGGCCGCCAAGATGCCAATGGATTCTTTCGAACGCCTCATGACGTTTAGTCCCTACAATCCCCGCACAACGATCAAAGGCGCGCATCGTGTCCCCCGTCTCCTAATCTTTCGTTTTGCAGACAACCGGACGCTCCTCACGCTGCGGCTCGTCTCTCGTATCTTTCGTGCATGGATTAAAACCCAAGAGCACCGCTTCTTCCGCGAGATTAATCTTAGGATTCGCCTTACCGACGACTATCGTGTCTTTGCACCCGGGAGGCTCGCCGCACTTGGACGGCTAGGAAATAGTATCACTAACCGGTTGATAATCACACTCATCGTCCCATGTAAGTTGGGGCAGAAGATCGTGTTCAGGGACAGGAAGACTGGGGAGATTCGCGCGGGAGGATACAGATCAGCGCAAGATGGCACTCCAATGCTACCAGGGGTGTTCAAACATTTCGAAGGCGGTCTCTTTAGGAAGATCTTGGAGAGCATGCCTAACTTGACGTGTCTGTGGATTGGGGACCAGGTACTCTCCACTTCAGACTCGGATCCCGAGGACAACTGGGGTCTCACGCTAGTGTGTCAGGCACTCATCTTCCTGCGGGCACAGATTGAAGAGGCGCATACGAACCGCATTCAGCGGCGTATCAAGCTTGAAGAGGACCTGCTCATTCATGATACTATTATAAATCGCCCCTATGCGGAGATTGTTAGGTTTCCGCAGACTCATTTGGAGGAGATTGCATACCTCGCGCATGCTCTCAAACTCGAAGAATTCTCACAATTGTTTAGAGACGTTTCGGTCGGTGCAGAACAACGAGTATGCCGGCCACAGCTCCAGAAGTGGCTCATGTCCCTCCCTGGCTTCCCCCGGGTATTGCCTGAATTTCAGAGGCAACTTTCTGCATTAACTAGATCCACCAAGGAGCAATTAATATCATGTCTGGAGATCTCTGAATCTATCCTTAAAGAAGATATCATCCGTCTTTCCGCAGGCGTAGCGAATATAGACCCCTTCACGCCCGCATGGCAGAGGTCAATAGACCAAATTAACAAGCTAAAAAGGCAAGAGCCACGCAGGAAGCTTTTAAAAAGACTCGAGTTTCTCATTGACCTCGCCGAGTCACCTTCAAAGCGGGAGCAGATCTTGAGCCATCTTGGTGTCCCACTTCCGGAAGGTCCTCCACCACCACCAGTCGACCTCGACGAGCTACGCCGACTCTCAGAGCCCTCACGCCTCTTCTCTTTCCAGCTAGATCTTTCCACCCCACTAGCGTTTTGGTACATTCGCTCCATCCCCCGCCGCGATGGTAGCATCGGAAACTGGAGCTCTTCAATTACCAACCTGCATATTATGCTCCCCTCTCCCACGCCCGGCTCGTCCCGGGCGCAGCGCGGCCTTGTAAAACGTTCCTACTACGCCCTCATCGCTGAGTTTGCTCCTTGGATCGAAACCCTCTGCATAAAGTTCCACCCCCACCCCAAGAACGCCCGGCTCGACACCCGCAAAAAGACCGACGCAGATCCCTCCTTCCGCGGCCAACGCGTGAGCCCCGAGTGTCCACTCGTCTACTTTTGCGGCGATCTTGACTTTTGTAGCGCGGTAGTTGCAGGGGATAAGCCACTGGACTTCCCCAAGCTGAAAAGGCTGGGACTGATTAACGTGACGCTGCGGTGGGAGGGTAGAGGCGGGATGAAGGAGTTCTTTGAGGTGAAGGCGAAGGGGTGTATCACGTTGCACTTGGTGGATGTGGTGTTTGGAGGCGGGGAGGCAACGATTGGGTGGGAGGGGCTGTATCGGATGTTTATGCTGGATAATCCGGGGCGGCCGAGCAAGTTTGGGTGGGAGCTGACGAGGAAGTTTGAGGAGCGGCATTGATGAGGTGGAGGGGTGTTGGAGGTTTGGTATCTGGTTGTTCAGAGTGGAGGGGGCGCTCTAGTAACTGAGGTTGAAGGTGTTCGACGGTCTAATTTTATGTTTAGATTTAAAAATTATAATTAATTTACTATCCTTATTGCTGCATACTAGCAATGAGTTAACGGCTCTTCTTGTAGGACCTATTTAGTTGAGACAATCCCGAGCCTAGAATAACGATAGATAAAACACATAAAGATGATTAAAGCATCGAAAACCGTCAAGGCTTCGAGTACATCTCCCAAACCCACAAAACCCCCCTTCGCTCTCCACTCTAGCATGTTTTCCCCAACCACTTGCTCAAATGAGGACAACGGTAATCCCTTAAACGTTGCCCTAAACTTACGGTTGCATGCGAGTATGAGAGATCATTATTATTATTATTATTATTATCCACTCCAGCGTAAAAAACAGACGAGTGATGCACCATGACCAGATACATCATAGATTATCACTCGCTCGCCATATAACTATCCTAGACGAGTGTATAAACAACACGTAGACCTCAGGTAAATATCCTTCTCAGCCCCTCCGACAAAGCTCAGAGATTAAATGAGAGACTTGACATAGCTCGGACTGACTGCGGAAGATCAATGGGGGCTGCTTCTCTGGCTTTATTCATATCACGTCCGGCCGAGGTATTCAGTACAGTACTCCTACCCCTGGATTAAACCGTGGCATGGACCTTCTGTAAAAGACTCTACTAACAATGTAAACGAATCATTTGATGCATTACCCACCAACACGAAGTGCGTGGGGTGGGTGGGTCGATTGACCGGGGACGTCGCGTGTGAATGACACGAGTGATTCAGGTGATGCATTTACAGGGCGTCTTTTTTCGCGATGCATTAAAGTAGCATTTTTTTTTTCTGACTATATTTCGGTCATCATGTCTACATTAAATCCATTTAGAACTCTGTGTTATTTTGGGGGCGTAAGCTGTCGCGAAAATGGCTGACCACCACCACCACCACCAAAAAAAAAGGCAAATTTGGTGTGACCTTTTTTTTTTTTTACTAACAGATCCCGTTATATCTCTCTTTTAGCAAATAATAGATATCTCTCTCATACAAAATCCAATTCCTCTGTTATAGGAGGGGGGTTCAGCATCGACAGCTTATCAAATCTCCCCCACTGCTACAATTGAACTAAGGGATTCATGATTCATTTACTGACTCATTTTTTACTAAGGCGTTTGGTAAAAGGCCGTGAAAACAGGTGGTTCATCGGGGCAATGAAGTAATCAATCAAATACTTACTCATTTACTTGCGCCGTATAGAGAGACCAGGCACAACCTATCGGTATCCAGATTCCAGTAGGCGAGTCCCGCAGAGAACTGCTAGACCACTCGCCCATAGGTATATATTCTTGCCTGGAAATCATACTTGCCAAGAATAACAAGTGGGCGTTAGTATGAGTATCTCTTAGTCAACGTATAAATTACAAGTACTAAGCATGCTACTGAACCACACACGCACTCCACTAGCAACTCAAGTGCTAGTAGGCTATACTTCTTAAGCAGGTAGAGTGGATATCATATCAAAGAAAAACTGCCTTTAACCTCGGCCCTTGCGTCATGAATTATCACTCGCTAGAATATATGCAGTCGCAGTGTGGGATGCCTTGGCCCTCGTTCTCCAAACCAGACAAACAAAAAACAAAATCAAACATCTGATTACACGATCTTATCATGTTCAGCCGAGAAGTAAGTTCTTGCCAAAAGATTGAGAGGGGGAGTGAAATACAAAAAAAAAACGGTGGGAAAAAGAGAAAAAAAAAAAGAAACAAGTAATCACTCCGAGTTACACCCCAAGAAGAGAAAGTCACACAAATCCAGTATCAAAGAAGGGAATCTCGAGAACAAACCTCGCGCGAAAGAACAAAAAAAAACAGAAATAAAAACCCAAACCAGTACACCGATGCCCCAGTAGCCCTAAATAACAACCCTGATCGCCTGTGCCAAACTGCTCTCCTTCGGACAATAGGGACACTTTATTGTCACAGCGCTACCCTTCGCCAACCTCTGCAAGCTCTCCTGTGCAATGACGTGGCCACACGGTAGCATCATGGGAGGGTTTGATTCTGTAGTTTGGTCCTTTGATACTGGACACACAAAAATGCTATGAAATTGGTAGCCGGGGGGCAGTGCAATTTCGGCCTATCTTTGTCAGTAATTGGGGCATACAACGGGGGAATGGGAGGCGTACAGGAAGCTCATTAACCGTACTCCACCCCGTCTTCTTATCCTTCATAATTGCCGCCATCTTCAATAGCGTTGGAAGCGCAATCGCTCCAGCCGTCGCCGCAATATACAGCGGACTCTCCGCGCTTAAGCCCAGCAAGCTACAAAACTCCTTCGTAAATGCATTCGCCACATCATTAAAGCATTTCTCCGGGTCTGCAAACAGGGCGCCATATGGACTGCTCTTCAGTGTCGTTGGGAACAGGAACGCGCACATGAGCTTCTCGATATCCCTCAGATGTTTCTTCTGAAACCTTACAAACTCTTCCCTCGCATAGCGCATTGCCCTCATTTTCCCGTCTTGGGCCTGATCTGAGAATAGCCAAACGAACTGCAAACGACAGAGCTCAAACTCAAGGTTACTACCGCGGTGGTCTAGTTCCGTAGCTTTGGAGCGCGCCCAGGCGATGGCGGGGCCGAGGTCGCGGTGTATGCGCATGGAATTGAGTATTTCGTACATTTTGGCGAACTCGGTGGTGAGGTGCGGGGGGATGTCGATTGGGCCAGCTTCCTCACGGAATGTTGAAGCCGCGGCGAATTGGCCTTCGCGAATTAGATGCATGGCGATGGCGCGCTTGATGAGGTCAGATTGGGAGGAGAGTGCGTCATAGTCGTTGGTTGAGTAGGTGGTAGTTGCTTTGAAGGTCTATGGGGATTAGTAGGTATGTATAAGGGGGGGGGGGGGGGAAGAGTAAAAAGTAACCTTGTCGAGAGCACGGCCGTAGCGGCTGAGGCCAGAATAGATCTCCTTTTCGTCATCTTTGATCTTCTCAAGAGCTGCGGGGACAGTTTGCTGGAGCTTCGCAATGTTCACTCTTGCAGAGGATGGGTCTAGGAGAATCAGTATGGAGCTTATTATTGTTTTTCTGGCGGTTGTTTAAAAAAATTAAAGTAGCCGAAAGAAAGTCAAAAGCCCTACCATTAGCTATAGCTTGTCTAGCGTTCTGGAGGAGCTGGATGCACTTGTCGACATCTGAAATGCTCTTTGAGAGGTTAGATTTCTTGCGGAGCCTCTCATACTCCTTCTCTATGGATTCCATCGTGTAAGATTGTTGTAAGGGTGTTTATAAGTCCACTAACGAGTTGTATGGACAGTTGTGAAGTGGGGGCGGGAGAGGTTGGAAGCATTGTAGTGCGTCAATCGTATGTCGTTATCGCGATACAGGATGCCGGGTAACTCAATGCAACAGGGGAGCTCGATCGCAGTCAGAGAAATAAGACGGTCGCATGGGAGGTGGACAGTCACAGACAGCCTTATAATACCCCTACTAAACAGTCCAACAGATTATATTTATACTACACTCCTCGAAGCTATCTGACCATCACGCATACAACTGTCTGCCAATGCTCAAACGAAATTTCTTGGACGAGCCTGCCCCGGCGAACTACGTCGCTGGTCTTGGGCGTGGTGCTACAGGGTTCACAACACGGTCTGATATCGGTCCAGCGCGTGAAGGTCCCTCAGAAGAGGCCATCAAGGCTGCCCTTGCTAGGAGAGCAGAGGCCCTAGGACAGCCTGCTCCTACAGCTTATGTTAGTTATCCCCCCCACTTCCCCCCGGCCACTCAGCATCAGCTGGTTAACAATACCGCGATACTACAGGGTGCAGATAAAAAGAAAGACGACGATGATGACGACGATGACCGGTATCAAGACCCCGAGAACGAAGTTGGACTGTTTGCCGGTGGGGCCTATGATGAGGACGACGATGAGGCAGATAGGATATACCAAGCAGTAGACGAAAAGATGGAAAGACGGCGGAAAACACGAAGGTATATAACACCCCCGTCTCCTTATTCCTTGAAACTATGCCCATCGTATTCTCTTCTTTCTTTATTTCTAGGACACATGGTTTATCGTCATGGTTTATATGAGATAGTTTTGCCGACCTCTCCGTCATCATATAGGGAAGCCCGCGAAAAGGCCGAGCGCGAGGAATACGAACGCAAGAACCCAAAGATCCAACACCAATTTGCGGACCTAAAACGAGGACTCGAAACACTCACAGATGACGACTGGGCGAACCTCCCCGAAGTCGGAGATCTAACAGGAAGAAACCGACGAGCACGACAAGCGATGCGCCAGAAGTTCTACCCCACCCCCGACTCGGTTCTCGCCAACGCCGCCGGAACCGGACAATTTGAGACTTCGGTCCAGGATGATGGCGGTGCGAACGTTTCTTCCGACACTGCCGACGGCACGATGACGAATTTCATCGACATTGGTCGCGCAAAGACAAAGGTCCTTGAAGCCCGTCTTGATCGCTCCGGAGGCGACTCTGCAACCGGCGCAACAAATATCGACCCCAAGGGCTACCTGACATCCCTTAACCGCAGCACTACTCAGACCGCCGAACAGGTCGGTGACATCAAGCGAGTCCGCGAGCTCCTCCAATCCGTCATCAAGACCAACCCTAAGCATGGCCCCGGTTGGATCGCTGCCGCCCGTCTAGAGGAAGTCGCCGGGAAGATTGTCCAAGCCCGTAATCTCATCGCCAGAGGCTGTGAACATTGTCCCAAGAACGAAGACGTATGGCTAGAATCAATGCGACTGAATGACGCGCCAAATGCCAAGGTAATCGTCGCAGAAGCAGTCCGCCATAATCCAAAATCTGTCAAACTATGGGTCGAAGCAATGGAGCTTGAAGTAGACCTCCGTGCCAAAAAACGAGTAGTCCGTAAAGCCCTCGACATCATCCCACAGTCTGTAGTTCTCTGGAAA